ACTTTGCATGATTTCATGTGACTTTGTATAACAAAAAAATATTTTTTCATAATATACAACTTTCGTCACTCGATACATTTTTTTAAATTTATATATGCCAATCGCCCGGTTTTTACTAATCAATTTCTATCGTTGATCGGTGGACCATGAATTAAGAGTTTCAGATCGTTGCGTCGTTAAAAAATTTTTAAAAAATTCATTAATAGTGAAATGTTACTTAGAAAAAATAGCCAATAATTTTGTTCAGATTAAAGATAGAATCAATCTTTTGCCTAATTTACCCATAGCCGAAAACACAACTATCAGTATCAGTTCTAGCATGTCAATTTCGACAACATTTTAAGTAATCTCATTTTAGTATTAACAATAAAGATTTTTTTTTACTATATAAGCAGTGGCTCATTCAATTATTTCATATACGTATTTAAAGTACCTGAATCAATGTTATTTATTTCTAGATATCTACATACTTCTTCATAGTCAAATACCGCCTTTGTATCTTGCGTGTTCCTATTTATGATAATTATATGATCGTTATCAATGATATGTATATACTTATCCCGATTCTTAAATTGCATATACTGCGTAGGATTTGTAGTGAATCTACCTTGAGTTTTTCATCTGTTATTTTTAGATTTGCGAGACATATTTGACATATATTAATATGGATAAACGACTTCAGTTTTTTATTTTTTCATCATATCGGAAAATAAAACATGTTTGTATTATATGGACATCGATATTTCACATATGATCAAGAATTTTTTCAGATAATTAATATCTAACTCTCACAAGACAATATCATGTAACTGATAACTAGCACCCAAAAAAAAGACGCAACATTTTATTAAGAAAATATATATAAAGACATATATTTTTAAAAACATATATATTATTATTTTTTTGTTTTGCTGGCACCTGCGTTTTCTGTGAAGCCAGATCCTCCAGCATCCCTGAATACCAATTGTAAACGTACCCCTTCTACTGTATGTTCTTCTGGTTGACCTGGATTTTCAAAGACATTACTGAGAGATATTTCTTCATTATTGACCTTTAAATATGCACCATTTTCTACTTTTTGAACTGATCTATAATCATACAGAATGGTGAAAATGAGATATATATGGAAAACAAAAGGCATTTCATTATAGAACAATTAGAGAAACCATGTAACTTACAACATAGTAGATTCACCTTGTTCTTTTTTTAGTGTTTCTTCATCTATTTTTTTATCTCCCCCATCATGAACAGCGAGGTAAATTTCATCCAGTCCTACTATGTAAAAAAGTATCATTATTTAATTGTGTTTTATCTTTTGTAAACATACAATCTGTGCATTAATAATGCTAATGGGAGAATTTATTTACCAATTTTAACTGAAAGTTCTCCTTCCATTGTAAACTTTTGTTTCGATAAAAAATATAAGTAATATTATTCTAGCCCACCTCACAAATCTGGTTTATTTATATTGTTTCATTCACTAAATCTGAGAACCTGCCAGAAGAAAAAATTGCATGATTGGTAATTACATTGCCCCAACCATTTTCCAGATCCTTTCTTCACAAGGCAATTCTATTAAGACATAGGCATCAAGTGCTGAGTATATTTCATCATCTATGGGGTAAATTAAGCTTTTCAAACTGCCAACCGCTTTTGTAGAATGAAAATAAGTCAAGTTTTGGCGATCTTCGGAGATGGTAAAGATCTCAAGTTCCATAACATATG